TCAAAAATGCAGCCAGAGAAGCAGGGAGACAGGTGTACTCTGCCCACTGAGACAGCCTCATCGTCATGATTGCTCTCATTGTTCCAATAATTAGTATTTTGTGTGTATGGTTAGAATCGGGCTGCTAACCCCAAGGTAGGCAGTTCAAAACTACCAGCTGTTCCGCGGGAGAAAGATGAGGTTTTCTGCTCCCGAAAAGATTTGCAGCGTCGGAAACCCTGTGCAGGGTCACTATGAGTCAGAACCGACTCCATGGTACTTAACAACAATACCAACATGTGTAGAGAGTCGCGGACTGTGAGTATAGCTGCTCATATTTTCCCCCTAGTTCTTCAGTAACGTGGGCAGGTCAGGCATTGCTATCCCCATTTTATAGTAAAGGACACAGAAGTCCAAACAGATGAAACAGAACTCACTCAAGTTAAAGGAAGAGAAGGAATTCGACCCCATGGTGTCTGTGGCGCTAAGTTCAAGGTTCCTCCTTCCCTCCGAGGTTATCTCCTTTTGACCACTAATTCAAGGACTGCTTTACCATTAGCTGAAGGTCTAGGATGGTTTCAGAGAAAGCTCATAGCCTCCTAGTCTGAAAGTCCCAGGCCACAACCATAGCTGCTCCAGGGGCAAAGACCGTCTTCCTTCCCTCCTAGCAGCCTCCAACTCTGTCTAGACTCTGAAGCAGCTCTCTTCTGCCGCCACCTGGCTCTTGGCTATCACTGCATTAACCCACAGCCTTCTCCTAACAGGTCTGTTCCAGTTTTCTTCCCTCTTGTCTGTTCCTGTCAGTGTGTTTGGCTCTGCCCTCAGCCCCTGACCTTCTTGCTCTTTCTTTCAAACATATGGATTAAAAAACCTGTTCTTCATTGTTCAAATTCTGGTTCCCTTTGCCTTGCCCTCTTTCTACTGCTAATGTTCAAATATTGGTAAACCCCCACTGACCAATAAAAAGTCCTGGTGTGGTGCTGTAGGCTAAGCACTGAACAGCAAGGTTGGTTTGTCTCACAAGATCAGCAGTTCAAACCCACCAGTTGCTCTTCAGAAACTCTATACAGGATTACATTGAGTTAGAACTGACTCATGACACTTAACAACACAACAACACTAATGATACAGTAGCCATCAGTCATATGTAGATACAAGCATTTGAAATGTGATCATCTGAAATGAGACAGGCTGTGAGCATTAGTATAGAAAAAAGGAAAATCTTTTGTTGTTGTTAGGTGTCACTGGGTTGATTCGAACTCACAGTGACCCTATGTACAGTGGAACACTGCCTGGCCCTGCACCATCCTCACAATTATTGTCATATTTGAGTCCATTGTTGCTGCCAATGTGTCAATCCAGCTCATTGAGGCTCTTCCTCTTTTGTACCCTTCACTTTACTAAGCATGAGGTCCTTCTTCAGGGACTGGTCCTTCCTGACATGTCCAAAGTATGAGAGACG